GACCTAGCCAAGGTAGTGGGATGGAGGAGGAAGCTTGGTTTGCTGTAGAAGCACCATATGGAGACAGTTGCTAGCAGTGATCCTTGGTGCAGTGCCATGGCACCATGAAGGCAGAAAAACACCAAACCCAGCCATGGTTTCTGCCAGCACATTTCACCATGGGGAAAACCAGAAAGCTCCTGTCTGTCCCCAGCATCTTTCCTCCTCTTTTCCCACCAACATGGCTGGCTCTCTCCCTGAAGCGTGGCAGTTTATATCACTCATAAACCACAGCACTGGCTGCACCTCATCCTTTCATGGGTGTGTTGGCTCTTAATGCCAGTGACACCTCATGGCGAATGAGTCCTGTTAAATATTTCCTTTAGCAGTGTCAATGCTGTTGCAGTGTAACCGTCTTTCCCTCTGGTGCTTGTCTGGCAGCTGTGGAGAGATGTGGCCATGTTTGCTCTCCTCCAATCCTCTCCCATCCTCTCTGTTGGCCTCATCTCCATCACCCTGCTTCACTCAATATCTCATTGAAGACTGAGAGAATGAAATCTTATCTTGACAGACCTCAGTAGGAGCAGGACTGCACCCAGACTGCTTATATTTTTATTAAGCAATAAGGCACGTCTACTCCTCCAGCCTACACAGGTGACCACCATCCTGGAGCTACAAAATCAGGAGAACCTGCATTGCTGGTCTGCCTCGAATGCCTGTTTTTCTAGTAGATGTTTGTGACATCCCCACACTCACATTAACCTATTTTTCAAGGCATCTGATTTACTTTTGGCAACTCCCAATCCTCAGGAAAGCAAAATGAGAAGAGACTTGGCTCCTTCCCCAAATAAAGCACAGTTGATATATAAAATACTCCCTGAGTACTGGGAGTTTGCCTTGCCCTTGCACAGCTTAAATATTTCGTGAGGCTCACGGAAATGGGGAGAAAGGCTTATATTACTACTAGGTTTGCGTGTTTCTCATTCAGTTTTGCCATTTCCATGGCTTCTCTGGGCAGGTTAACATCCAGGTACCCTGGCTGGGTGGGAGCCCCTGGGGTTCCTCATCCTGCTCGCCCCTTTGCAGCTGCTGGTGCTGGGGGCATGGAGGGGCTGCACAGGGGAGCCAGCCCGGTCCATCAGCCACTCTCCATCGCCTGCACCGGCTGCAGCACCCCTGGGAAATAAAGTCACTGCATCAAAGCACACTGTGCAACAGGAAACCTAGTGAGCTCCTCCAGCCAGCCCAAATCGACATGGAAAATATTGCTTGGGATATGGGATACTCATGCACACCAAAACCTTTCACCAGGAGAGCGCTGGCCTCCATCAGAGTCCCGTCAGGAGTGACTGCAAAAGATTTCCAGTGGCCAGTTGCCCCACTGCTGTTTCCCCAGCATGACCGGGCAGACAGGGCTTGGGGGGGCACAAAGGGCAAGTACAAGCAAGTAAAGGCATTTGTGGCTGTTTGTGGAAGGGGCATGGATGCAGATGATGCTAAAGGGAACAAATGGGAACACACCGAGTTCCCACTCCCAGGTGTTTGTGTGCATTTGGACATCTGTGGAAAGATGTCCACACCACTGAAAAACACTGATGGTAAGGAAGGAGCCTTTCCTAACAGAAAAATATTCTTATTTATTTCTGGAACCTAAAATTTTACTAATTCCTCATGTCTTGTGGCAGCCATAGGAACAGACCTACCGAAGTCGTCTTTGTGGAGAACAGAAGTTTGGAAATAACAGAAAGCTTTTATCCAGAGCAAAACCTTTGTCATAAAACTTCAGAAAACGAATTTCTTTTTCAATGGGTCCCCGGGGGCCTAAAAAATAAATATCTAAGGATTCATGTAGTAGTAAAAGTCGATAAAAATCTTTGAAGCAAATGGGCTATTGAGGAATTATGCGTGGAAATGAATGGATGGATTCTTCTGCAAATCTCTTCATAGAGGTGCCCTGACATAATGAAGACACAGTAGGTGCATTAGTAAAAATCCTCTTTTTAATAACTGCTATACCTTATGGTTTTCCTAAAGCGACAGTTTACCAGATGGAAAATCCACTTAAAGATTTTTATCTAGAAAGGAGGCTGCAGTTGTTCAGCAGGAAGGAGACAGCTTTGTTCTCCATCCCCTCCCTGGGATGGGGGATGCCATACCTGTCTGCATAATACTCGAAAGCAGTGAAAGCCTTCCCTTTCCCCTGGCAAGAAGTGGTCAAAAGATGATCTGGGGTCCACAGTCAACTTCATGGTAGCAAAATGCAAGGAGAAAACCACGGTGTGTGGAAATAGGGTGGTTCCTGGGCAGGGCAATGCCAGACATGTACCCCACAGAGCACCCAACATCCAGAAAATGCACCAGAGAGGCCCCTTGCAGTCCCAGAGGCTGGACTTGCTCTGTGGAGGTGCCTGTGGCTCCTCAGAACCCCCAGCCCTCAGACTGACAGCTGCCTCCTCCCCACCGCCTGCCCCGTGTCCAAACCAGCCGTGTAAATAAGGTCCCAGTACACGGCACTTGTTCTGCAGCTTGTAATGGTATTTACCAGCCCTCGCAGGGAGTTTTTCACGTACCCCCAAAGAACATGAGCTTTTACATAAGTGCCAAGCTTTGCTGCGGAAACAATGCTCCCTGCTTCAATTATTATCGATTTTCATTTTTTCAAGGAAATGTTGGGCCTCTCTAAACCCCCCGCTGCTGACGCCAAAGATCTCGGAACGATTTTGGCTGAGCAAGCATTTCTCTCGCAAATCTAAATATTTATGCTACAGCTGTGTAAACAGCCAAAACTTGAAGGAGGTTTATTTTTAGTGTTCTTGAATTGCAGTGAGTGATTAAGATGGACCTGTCGTGCAAACTCTGATGTCTTCTTTTGCTTTTATTGCATGTTGTTGCTGATGGGCCCAGCCCCCTCACCCTCCTTTCTAAAGGTGTTTTGCTCTGATTATTTATATGGTGAATCCAGATGGATAGGAATTAGTTGGTTGTTACTTTATGTTGCATTGTTTATCCGGAACCCAAATGTACATCTGCTTCAATGCAGCGGTTTAAAACATACAACATTAAACATAAAAAAACCCAACAAACAGCCTGTTGTTAAAACATGATATTCAGGAAAGAGAAAAGTTATTCCTTAGTGTACACCCAAAGAATATGTTACCAATCTTGGCATGACCCTCCACAGACTCTTCTCATGGAGAAATTATTTACTCAGCATTGAACAAGCAGGAGTTGTGTTTACAAAAAATTGTCCTAGAGGTTATGTTATCCATAACAGGCTGCTCAAAAGCTGTGTGGGAGAATATACATGCCTGACAGGGTAGCAAAGTGATTGCAGATCCCCTCCCTGATTTTGGCTGGGGTCTCCCTGCATGGTAAATAAAGGTTTTGAATGCATGGGTGTGCAGCAACTCTGTAGAGTTGCTCCCAGCTTTGGCCGTCTGCCTTTAGACATCACTGATGCTGGGAAGAAGTGTGAGGAGATGGAAATTGCAGGCAATGAGCAGCCTGAGTTAAACACAGTTCAAAAGAAATAAAAGAAATTAAAGAATATTTTTTTTCTCTGGTTGTAGTGAGAAAAGCTGCAGTTTGCTTTTGGGACTGTGATATCAGCCAGGACAGCCTACAGGCTCGCGCTTGCCTTCAGCAGGGTTTTAACTCTATCTGAGGCTTCATCTGAGCTGTGAAAATGGCTGTGTCCCCTCCTCATGGAGGACAAGCAAGGCATCCCCAAACCAGCCTCGACCCCATCACGGAGCCGGCGTGGTGGACACCAGGGGGGCAGCAGGGAAGGATCCCCAGGACCGCATCCCAAACCCCCACACCACTGCTGTGCCTGCCGGGGCGAGCGCCTGCACCTCACCGGGTGCTTGGTGATAACGGCCTGGAACAGCTCAGCGGGTTGGGGGATGCAAACACCCAGCAGTGGGTTTTCCCTAAATAAACACTTCACTCCCGGGCAGTAACGCTGCTGCTGGCACCTCGTCTGGGCAGCAAATCGATTCCTCTGATTAACAGCCCCGTTGGTTGGTGGCATGTCCGGGAGGGTCGTGGCGTGGGAGCCCCGGCTCACTGGGGGTTACCCTGCAGGCCCCAGGAGCCGGCTGGACGTGCAGCACCTCTGCCGGGTCCTGGCACAAGAGCCAGCACCATCCCCTGGGGTGCACCAGGACCTTTGGCTGGAGAGGAGCCCATCACAGTGAAATAAAGGTGCAGTCCCCCTGAAAAAACCTTCAATAGAGGAAAAGTAATGTAAAACCTCCCAGAAAAGCCACTATTTTGGGAGCCTAGCATTCACCAAAGCAGAGAAACGTGAAGATCAAACCCTGAGGTGGGCAAGGGGGGTCAGATATGAGTCCTCAAAAGCAGCTTCTGATCAGCTTTCAGCATTTTGGGGCCTCAGTCATCTTGAACCGGGGCAGATCATTGGGATACTCCAGCACCAGCCCCCCACACACGCTCAAGCCTTTTGAATAATTTGATTAAAACAAGACACATGGTCCCAGTACCATGCAGGAATGGAGCCCAGATTTCAAGCCTTGTACCATCAGGGATTTGTCTGACATGGTTAATATTAGGCAAACAATTTCCAATAGCATAATGTACCCAGAAAGATGGGATTTAAATTTTCAGGTGCAAAGGAAAGTCTGCCAAGCCAGGGCCCAATTTTCTCCTGCTTTTCACCAGGGAAGTTATCACAGTTTGCAAAGTGCTGCTGGGGCAAGAAGGACTGAAACCAGCTCCTTACGCTCTGCCACTTAATTAATTTTAAGCACTTTGCAGTAAAACACAATTTGGCCCAACATCTACAAATGAGAAGACAGGGTGGTAAAAATGCCCAGCTCACCCATCTGTGTTGCACACCCCAAACGTGCTGCAGCCAGACATGGGAGCTTTTCCACCTGAATATTAAACAAGAAATGGAAGGTAATTCAAGCCTCCTAAAATGAAAGGTCTAAATCCATTTACATTTACAAACTCTGTAATTAAATAATAAACAAAAATATTATGGCTTGCACTCTAAATGTGAATTCAAAGCATATATTTAAAATTACATTACAGCTTATTTGTTTAGGCTGCTGTGGTCTCTGCTTGAAGGAAGGAAAAAATTGCACGGAGAGGAAGGAATGAAATCCCTGAGTGCCAGAGCCATGGCAGGTCCCTTCTGCTTTAGTCTGGGCAGCCTCAGACAGGCTTTTCCTCCCAAAGCTGTAGAGGCACCTGTGACAGCATGAGCATCTTCCTTCCCCATGGACAGGTGAGCTGGTACCCAACCCCATCCCATACTCGACCTCCTGCTGAAACCCTGCGTAACCTCTCCCCAAGGTGACTGCTTGGAGAGGCTCATTTTGCCCCACTGCACAGGCTCTCATGTGCTAAAAACACGGCAAAGACCCAGGTGCTCGTCTCTCCTCCGTGCCCTGCACAGTGGCTCTTCTCTGTGGGCACCTCAGCCTCTCCTGGCGGCCTCTACCCTCCCTGCCTTTGAGCACAGTGACAGTGGCACAGACCCACTCTTCTGCTCTTTTATTTGCAGTCTCAGCAAAGAAATGAAGGGAGAGGGAAGGGGAATAAATGCAGTAAGTAAAGCACAGCTGCTATGCCTTACATTTCCCATGGTGACAAAAACAAATTGCAGCCTGCAGCATGGCCACGTCTGGGGAGAGAGAGAGGTTGGGGAAGACTGTTCTGCTGTGGGACATTTTTTTATGGACTATTTATTTCCTCTTGGGCTGTCCTCTGTCTGCTCAGCCCAAACCACAGCCCCATGTTGGCACCACCAAGGGTCCCACCAGTCACATAGTGAGGGCTTGCAGCTGGGCCAGCATGCAAATGGCTTCAGGAACCTTCTCAGTTCAGAGTTTGTCTTGCCCATTGTCTCAACATCTGTTACTTCTTTATGAATATTTAAAGACCTCATGTACATGTGCACAGCCTGATGCAGCAAAGTTTTCCCCCAGCATGGCAGGGAGGAGACACCAGTTCATCCCAGGGGCATGCTGGGACTGGCAGCATGGCTGAATCTGACCACAAGTCTGGTGGTGACTGTCACCTACCCTGTTCCCTCCTCTCCATCCCCAAGGGAAAGGCAATGTGCCCCAAACCCTTTTCTCCCCGTGTCAGGGTCACCTAAACTCCTCTGTCACTCCTTCCCCTTTTTCTTTTATCTTTTATCGCACTAAACTGCTGAAGCGGCACCGGCAGCCTCTGCTGTTCAGAGCTTCCCCTTCATTTCTCTGTGTTTTAAGCTCTGAAAGGCAGAGAGCTGAGTGCCTTTAAAACCATGTACATCAATTATCGCTGCAGGGTTTTCATCCCGCACAAGGGTGCAAGAGGCAATGCAAATAGCACAAATACAGTGTTTGATATTTAATGATCCCACACTGGATGGGGAAGATGTGCTCTTGAACAGGAGTTGTTTTCTCAAGCCAGTGCAATGCAGAAGGACCCCTGTCTTTCATGATTAATTGAGCCCTAATGATTTTCCTTTATCATCCAAAATGAAAACAAAGGATTTAAGGGATGTTTCATTGTGGCACTGTGGGTCTTTCTATTCATTTATTATTCCCCAAGTTAAAAGCCATGCTTTGACTTGCCTCTGAACCCGCTCCTCCCCGGTGTTGCTGCTGCTTTTGTAGTTCTGTCCCTTTGCCTCTGACAGTCCAAAAACAGCTGCTGTGGCTTATGCAGCCTCTGCCAGGAATGAAGGCTCAGGGACTGTCCCCATTAGCCACACCATCCTCCAAAAACTTTGGATTTGGGCATTTCAAACTGAGTGTGAATTCCCGGGGTTGCATGGCAGGCTCCATGCTGAGAGGGAGCCACTGGTGTGCGGCTGGCCCCGAGGCAGGGGAGACAAGCTCACACCCAACTTTCATGGGGACAATGGAAATGCCAGAAAGAACCAGGGCAGAGCAGATCTTGAAGCAATAATGCTTCATTCCCTGTGGCCAGGGGGCAACAATTTAGGATGAGCTGCTTGCTCGCCCTGGCTCCCTGGAAGCAAAGCCCTCTGCCTGCCTCCCCAGAACACTCACACACCAGCTGCAGGGTGCATATTTAATATGGAGAAGAAAGGGAAGACTTGTTTTTTGCCAGGAAAACACCCAGGGTGTGCATCACACACACCTTAACCCATGCTGAGCCCTGTGTTCAAGCAGAGGCACCAATGTAAGGACAAGATGGCAGGAGGTAATCTTGCAGCCAGATTATTCTGCAAATGACAGTGGCTCAAGTCATTGCACAGCTCTGTCTGTTTTTTTGCTGTAATTAAGGCTGGACTCTGAGGTGCCATTGCAGCCCCACAACATGTTTCCAAATTGCTGCTTTTCTGCAAAGCTGCTTCCAGAGCTGTCCTTGAGACATCAGCACTGGGGTTAATTGGAATCAACACAAAAATTGGCCTCCAGAAGGGGAAACAGAGATGCTGGGTGTGTGTGAGCTCCTGGGAACAAAGCCCCGCTGATGCTGGGGTCTCGATGTCTCCACCCGCACAGTGGCAGCGGGTGCTGGCACCCATGAGAATGGTGGCTCTGTGTTCGGCCCAGCCCCAGCAGCCAGATGCAGCCCGGACATTGGCGTGGACACCACATGGGCATCAGTGCCACCAAGGGCATGTGGTTCCCCCGTGTCCATGGGAAAGGCTGAGGAGGGATTTGGTCCTTCCAGCTGCCATCTCTCCAACTCTGGCATTGACACCGAGCTCAGAGCAGAGTGCTGGTGGGATCTCAAGGTGGTTAAAAGCAGAGCCAGAGCCCAGCCACAGGGTGCTGAAACACAAAGGCCGGGCTCTGCGAGGAGCACAGCTGCCCCCCACCTCCCTCAGCCCCAAGCGATGCTCAGCTGCAGCAGAGAGCTGCAGACTCCCGTCATTTTTCTCAGCATTCCTCATCTCTTTCAATGCCATTAATCACACTATTTCAATTAACAGACCTGAACCATTGAACAGACCTGTCCTGCACTAATATGTTATTAATTGGGTCAGGTTGGATGGCAGCAATATTGAGTGCTGTGCAGCTCTGAGCTTTCAGCTTCTGGTCCAGGATCATTTCATTTATATAATCACCTCCCCAATGCCTTCATTTTTTCCCTCTCCACCCACCTTAGAGGTAATCTGATACATTTTCTGCATTGTCTGGTATCAACTACATACTGAAGAGAGTTATATCTAATTTACAATACTGTCCCAAGAAAAAATCAATGTTTACATTACTATCCTACAATCCCTATTTTAAAGTAATTCATGACAGGGCCAGTGTTATTAATATTATTAAGCTGTTATTAGTGGGCAGATATTATTCTGCTCCATTGATCCTAAGTTGATGCAATTACCACTTACAAAGCTAGCATCGTATGTCTGAAAATTTAAATTCTGTTTGCAACCTGAAGCTGTGTGTTAAAATTGTGCCAAGCCAGATGCTGGTGGTGGAAATCGGGGAAAGCTGATTCAAAAAAACCCCAAGGAACTGCCCAAATTTTATAACTTAAATCTTTTTAAAGCAGAGGTACTGATATCAGCCTGGACCCCAGCCATTCCTGAATGTACCATGCCAAAGCGAGAGACATACTCAGATACTCTCTTCAAGCCTCCTGGGTCCTATAGTTCATAGAAATCTCATCATTGTGGATTACTGGTTAAGTGAAACATCCTCTGAGGTGAATGGGAAATTTTACACATGAAACTAAGTTTAGCTCTATCTGCACAGAAAATACTCCAAAAGCCAGGACAGACCCATGTCCAGCTGAGTGTGCATTTCATTCAGCTGCAGGGGATGAATTTCATCCAGAGACTTCAGATCTCCTCCTCTTCTCTATGTAAAAAAAAATTAATAGCAGAGCAGTATGGGAAAATTGAGTGAGACAAAATGGTGCAAATCACCAGGGTCTCAAACACCTCCAGGAAATCCAACAACGCGGAGTGACCATCTGATCATTAGAGGCGTGACAGGTCCCACAGGGCAGGAGGGTACAGAAACCCCCCTCAGCCATCTCCACCCCATTGAGAGGCCATGTGGGTGCCCAGTGCAGGCTCACAAGGCATAAAAACTTCTCTTTAGTCAGCAGAAATGAAAAACTGCAGTTTAAAATAAAAATAAGGGGGCTCACCCTTAAGCAGCTTGGAAAAACATTAGCTCAACCACACCCATTTGATCATGGACAGAAATACCCTTTGTGTGCAAGTTAACAAAAGCCTGTCACTCAAGAAATGGGATAAAAGTGAGAAAAGAAAGACAGTACCCACCCTAGAATCTTGCCCTTTAAATAAAAGGTGATGGACGGATGGAGATAGTGGAGAAGAGTAAACCAAGGAGAAGATAGGAGCCATCCCAACAGCCGCGCCAGCAGCCTCACCTTTGTTAAGCTGATGATAGACAAAGGGTTTGAAGGAAAACCATGATGTCTACTGAGAGCCTCATCAATGCAGACAGGAGGAAATCGAGCCCCTGCGAGGCCTGGCTAACTGGGACCAGTAGCCTTTGAAGTACATAGTACTGGAAAGGGACCTCCTTTCTGCTAATGCTTTGGCCCAGACTTATTTCAGAGTGACAGATGCATTTGTTTAGGACATACAGTTTGACCTGAGATAAAGAAATGCTCTGTCAAATGTATTTTAAAACACCATGAAGCAATGTATGAATCCTCCTTCAGTAAAAATTAGGCCAAATAAGATTTTTAAAGTATTTGTGTAAGAATACTTGCAGTATCTCATAGCAGCATCAGATAGCTAATGTAAATCATCTGGATTTGGAGAGTGAGACCAAGTTTCACCAGATGAGATTCTGGCCCCAGAGTCCCCCAGAATAACATGAAAAGGTATCATAAAATCACTGGTTCCTGGCAACTGGTTAATGCTCTGAAGAGGGCGATTGATTTATGGGACCTACTGCACTCAGCTAAAACGGTTGTTCAACATTATAAACCAGCAGCCTTGTCTCCCATGCAAAACAAATAAACGAAGATATAAATTACACACTTCTCTCCACAACTGAGATGTTCTGGCAGCTGGGAAGCTCTGCAGGGTGACTGCACAGTGCTGCAGAAGCGTCTGTGCCAGGGGCTTGGTGAGCCACCCCACAGCTGGGATGCGGGAGCAGAAGCCACACCGCTCAGCTCCCAGCAGGCTCAGACACTGGTGGGGGGGTGTGGGGTGTGGGTGGGCAGCGGCAGGAGCATCCCTGAGATGCGCACATACCTCCTCACCGGGGTGCTTGGGAGATGGAGGAGCTGGCACAGCAACTTCCCAGATTCAGCAGTTCCTACCCTGGTCATTAAAAAAGTTGTTTTCAAGGTGGTGCTGCAATAGTACTTCAGATTCATGAGGGGGTTTTGCTACTGAAATGGGGGGTTTTAGCATTTCCTCTCCCCTGGACTTTTTAAACCATTTAAAGTATGGCTAGGTGGGGGTCTTTAACCCTTTTGGAGAGTGGAGGACTGGGGTGAAAGCTTCCCCTCCCTGCGGGAATCGGGCTGTTAGCAGCGGGAGCAGTGTGACCTGTTTACTGTAGAGGTTTTGGGAGCCCAGAGCACGGATCAAGACTGCAAACATCTCTCTTTAGGCAGACCAGAGGCACGTTATCCCAGTGTCTGTCCCCAGTGCTTGACACCCTTCACCGGGGCTGTAAGTGAAGCCTCTTCATCCAGATGGCTGAGAGTCCCTTGTTGGAAACTGAGATAGAGTTTGGCTCCTCAGCGTATCGGGATCTGTTTTATTTTATCTGCCCACACAAGCCTGCATGCAGGGATAGATCAGATTAACATGGCTGATGAAAAACATCCTCCTCTTTATCCCCTTTGACAGCAGCAACCCTTTATCAATAGTGTGAAGACAAAGTTTTCTCAGCCATAAGTTTTCTACCTTGGGGGTTTATTGTTTTTTGTGGTTGTTGTGTTTGGTGGTTTGTTTTGGTTTTGTTTTGTTTTGGTTTTTTCCCAGTAGAAGTTTTCTATTTTTCCTTCAAGAAAAATCAAAACATTTTGATGGAAGATTTTTCAGCCATCCTTATGCATTAAATGTGGTGGCAGACAGGGCTGGCACATCAACATCTTCTCCTTCTCACTGGATTAAATTTAATATCTGGTGCATGACCACTAACCCTCCCCCAGAGTTCCACTGGGTTCAGCTCAATGAGACTTACCTGGCTTAGAGAGAAGAAAATAGGTCCTATTCTGAGGGTTTCCAAATGCTTTTCCAGAGTGACCCTCTCATCATTTTATCCCCTCTTACAAAGCTAACTTCATAATGCCCTCCAATGAGGCTTTGGGGAGGACAGTGTTATAAATTGCAGCTCAGTGAATCTGCCACTCACTGCTGCTAATATACTGCATTTATCCTCGCTGCCACAGAGGCTGTGGCAGTAAGAGCAAGAGAGAAGGAGAAAAGTAATTACTTCCCGCTCAGCTTGTCACCAAATCCCTTCATCAGCCCTCTCAACACGTCTTTCTCAGCTGCGCTAGCGACTTGCCACACTCCACTGGGCTGGGTCTGGATTCAGCAGTGCTGGTGTTCATGGGGCACAAAGTTGGGGAAGGGGTTGGGTACCACAGGCAGTGGGAGCCCCCTCGGCACCCAGCACACCCCAGGCTGTCCTGCTGTATGCACCAAGTCCCATCAGTCCCGAACTGCTGCTGCTTGAACGCCATTAGGATCCCCTGATCAAGATGTGGGTTTATTTCAGCTGTGAAGTCTTGTTCCAAAAGCATCCTCAGTGTGGAGTGAGGGAGAAGAGGAGGTGTCTTCCCCAGGTGTTTTTTTTTAATAGCCTTCAAAGGTTACAGATATGAGACAGTCCAGTGTTAAAGTCTCTCTCTCCCAGAGAGGACTCAGAATCCACATCCTCATTCAGCAATGTGGATCAGCCAGACATTGAGTTAAAAGCAAAGATATTGAGTCATGAAATGAACCCAATATGATGCCAATTTCCTGGTTGGTGCTGGAATTCTCAGGAGCAGCAGCATCTTCCTGAGACCTGAAATCAGGTGGGATATCAGAAACCCTACCAGGGGCATGTATTAAATTGAAGACGAATAGTTTGACCATCACCTGATGAACCATTTTACTGGTTTTCTTCAAGTCCTGCAAGGTTGAATAAAAGACCAGCAGCAAGGGCCATTTTACTCTGAGGAAGTGGTGGATGTGGCGACCACTGGTGATACCACTGCTATGCTGCTTAACTGGCCTGGTGCTGGGGTGTCACGCACTGAAACCAATGTGCCATGTGATAAATTTGATGCACCTCACACTGAAATTGATGCATCACTTTTGGAATCAAATTTATCACCTCTTCTGTCACACTCCATATACTGAATCAGAGTCACCACCTACTGAATTAAAAACTTCACATGCAGTTCACATCACACCATAAATCAGGCCAAAATGGAATTAAATGCATTGTATGCGAAGAACTCATTCATCACCCCATAAATTAAACATGGGACAAGCCTCTTAGGCTGGATGTGCCCAGATATAGCCTGCAGAGTCCACTGGGGAAAACATGACACCACTGAAGTCAGTGAGGGCTTGGCCATTAATTTCAGTTAATTTTTTCAGTGCCAGGATCTACTGTGTACCAGGTCCAGCTCTGTCCTGGATCAACCCAAAACTTGGGTACCCAGCAACTTCTGCTGTTAGTGATTCTCCTGTTGAACCATCCATGCTTCCCACTTGGAGGTTTTGGCAGCAGCCTGGAGGAGAGAAGCAAATCGGACCCCAGCCCTGCTCCTCCACGGGGGAACGGCAGCAAGAGGCCAGGAGGGCTTTGCACCCCTTGCTGACAGCTAGCATGCAGTGTTGCACACACGCAGCACCTCTTGTCTTCAAAGGACGGTGTGTCACGAAGGGCCAGATTCAGAGTCCCAACATCCTCATTGCTGGAGATGACCATCCTTCCTTACATCCTCAGCTGGGCTGCACAGGACTGGGTTTGGCTGCAGGAGCTGCTGAGTGCCTGACACCCCTTTTTGCTGCCTTTTGACTTTGAGGTGACAGGAGGTAAAAAAACCCCTCAGGCTCAGGGATTCATGTTGTGCTAGAGCATCCGAGACAGTTCAGCCCTCAGCAGCAGGCGTTGTTAGTCCTGTGTGACAGACAGGTAACAGAAGCACAGAGCAATGGGGACCGGCTGTCTGAGGCCAAAGCTAGAGATTGGAGCAAAGAGAAGACTTCAGAAATTCTTATCTAAAACCAGGATAATATTTTCTCCTTTTTGTTATCTATGTTAATTTTGGCTTTTCTGACAACACATCCCTGTGTGCTCTTGCAGCACAGGAGCCTTTGTCCTGTCCCCATTCCCTAGGGAAAGCTGGGACAAACTTCCAGCTCATCTGAAGCACAACACAGTCAGATACATCCTTGGATCCAATCCACAGTCTTTCCTTTTATTTTCCTATTCATCTGGACTGCTCAAAATGTGCTCAGGAGCAATTAGAGCCTGTCAGCTAGAAGCTGATGCAACTTCTATTTAATTAGCCCAGCAGCCAATAAAGATCTCATTTATCAATATCTCATGGAAGGTATGGTTTCGGGGAGGGGAGATTTGGGACATGGCTGTGGAGCATTTATCAGTGATCTGATCACACACATGGACTTGTGCACATCTGAGGAGACCAATCAGCTGGGAGACATCTGTCCGGAAAGCAGTTAGGGAGAAAATAGCGCAAGACTGTCCCAGATGCTCTGATAGCAAATCCCGTTGGTAACTCAGTCTCCAGACCATGGCTAACCTGGGCAGCAAGTGACACTGGTGGGATGAGCAATTTTAGAGGGCTTTTTCTCTTCTTACCCATTTTGCTGCTCTTTCCAGCGACATGAAAGGGCAGACATGTGTAAGGAGGGCCAAAGTTCAGCAGGATGCATTGAGGGAGGCCTGAAGAAGTATGGGGTTTGCCCCATACCCACTGCCTTTGCCCTGGGAGGGGGATAAGAGCCTCTCTCACTAAGCTGCCCCATTGAGAATAAACACATTAAAGATAGCAAAGCAGGAGAGGGAAAATAGTATCCAGACTGGTGGATCCCAGCAAAGTTCTGAGGTGTTCAACATGCCAGAGAAAGTCTTCGGAGCAATGCCCTCTTGGCCTGAAAGCTTCTCCATAAATTGACTGTCAAGGTATCAAATACTTGCCTGACCTTCTCCTGCCAGACCATCTAAGCAGGACACATTTGGATTGGGCTTTTCCCAGACTGGTCAGGGTGGCCAGCAGGATAAGAGGAACGTAAATCTGCACCTGCAAGGTCACTGTGCTGGCTTCATGTCACGAAAAGGGAGTTTCACCAGCTCAGACCTGCAGGAGTTGGTCCCCACAGGAACTGCTTGCCAACAGTGTTTGCAGCCTCACCACCACAATTCACTGAACTAAAAAAAGAAATCAGTTATCACAGGACAGTTCATAGATTACAAACATGAGTGATGGTATCTTCATAATTAATGATTATGAGAAAGCAGCTTAATAGTTTGGTTCCTTGTGGCTGGTTTGATTTGTAATACATGGCAGTTGGTGTAAGCGAAGCAGGTAATTGGAGTCAGTTTACCCTTGGTGTGTCCAGCTGGTAGCTGCACTTCATGAACTTGCATGTAAGGCCGTTTTTTCACAAAGTCTTAACCCCCAACAGAAGAAGAGGGCTGAAAATGTAACCACACGTATAGGCACATTCCCAAGATGGAAGATGCCTGGGGACCGAATGATGAGCAGTTTCTTGCTGCTGCCCTGCACATCTGCAAGTTGCTGTGGTCAGCAAATCCTCCATGGCATTCGCAGAGAAAATACCCACGCTCAGCTCAGGGCCCTGAGCCACCCAGCTCCTTGGTGGTTATTAATGGGAACATCATAGCTGGCATATTACTGTGACTGATGCTGCATCAATCAACTGGAAAAGTGTTAAGCAAGTCTTAAAAAGAAGTGAGATGAAGGCTTAAATACTAGGCTAAAATGTCTATATAATGGGGATTATTCCAGAATTGAAAACACATGTGCAAGCATGCTGAAATACACAGCTGTGCCTCCCCTCACTGCTCCATGCTGGCCACTGCTAGTTCCAAGGAAGTGAGTAATGAGTGCTTACACTGCAAATGGAGACGGGCAATTAGCAGAGGGCACATACAAACTGTATTCCCCACGAGTCTGTGGTTTTACTGCTTATCAAATAAAAAGTAATGAAGAAACACTCTCTATTAATACATTATTTCAAGCCAAGCTGTGGTGCTTGCTTGCTTTTATTCAGTTCCATCAAGCCTTGTTTGATTTGGCTTATTTTTGCTTAAGACCAATGTGATATGCTACACTCCAAGTTGCCAGCTTTAGTCATTTTTTCTGGTGTGATGTTTGGTATTTCAGAACTCCTGGGGGCTCCTCTTCTAAGGAGAGTCTCAGATTTTCTTGCATTAAACCAAAAAATTGTGGCCAGGTCAGTTGTGGAGAAACTTGGGTGTGGCATCCAGCTTCCCAAACCCAAAAGGCAAACAAATAAAAAAAAAAACCACAAAAACCAACGAACCAAAAAAAACCCCCTCAAATGCATTATCCTTTAATCATCTGTGATTTTCAAACATTATTCCCTTGGGGAACTCAAGTCACAGATTTTCTGCTAACAAAAGGTGATTTTACTTGAGAACAAATTCACTTCTCATCCTCAAAGCCTGGCTCACACACTACTGAATTCCTGTATTGTGTATGCAAAGCCCATGGTCAGAAACCGCAGGGCAGAAATGGCCCCGTGCCCAGCACGTGCTCCAAAGAGGGTGCTTCATGCTTCCTTTGAGTCGCTATTCTGGTGCTGTGTTTTCCCCCAGAAGATGCCCTTGGTCCCGCTGGGGGATGCACCAGGATTTCCCATGGGGTGTAGCACGTCCTTGCTTCATCTACAGTCATCTACATGACAAACAATCTTCCCAGGCAGATGTTGGCACTTCAGCCCTTTCTGTACCCTTTACTCTGTGCTCAGACCTAGAGCAGGTGGAGAGGAAGCTGCTGCAGAGTGTGGATGTGTTTTACCAGACCCAGGACCTGGACTGAGTATTTCCCAGTGCCACCTCCAGTGCTTTACTGAGGACCAAATCCAGCATGTCCTTCTGGATCTCTTTTTTCTATGGAAGCTCAAGGTGGTCTCCTTGCTCCCATGCTTGTGCTCAGAGAAGATCTGTCTCTTAAAGCACTTAAAATCTGAACAGACCTAGCAAGCTCAGGGTTAGGAGAGAAAAACAGCTCCTTTTGCCAGCCCTTCATGTTAAGCTTCTATATTTAAAATGACTACATAAACTAAGAAATTAATAACAGGTCTAAGCACTTTACCAGGAAAATCCGATTTCTGCTTAGGAGAATTGGAGGGAATAAAGATAAAAAAAATTTGCTTCAAGGATGAGATTTAATTCAAAGTGCCACTTCTAGTTCTCCTACTGCACTTTATAGGTTTAGGAAATAAACCTGCTAGCAAACAATCGTCTTAAACAAGATCATCATTAATCCTGAATTCAGCTGTCAAAAAGACAGAGATTGCAAACTTGGAGGGAACAAGGAAAACCTGGTAATTTGTTTGTTAAATATTTGCAAACTGTCATATCAATAAGAGATAATAAGAAAATTTTGGCCCTCCAGAGCTGATGAATAACAGAAAGCTTTGCTGTAATGCACCTAAACTATTATCAATAGCACATTTATTATTATAATAGATGAAAAACAAGCTTCCTGGCTGAAAAACAAGATCAATTTGAGCTCAAGCTATTTGGACACATTCTAAATGTTGTAATTAAAACGCAGCATGAATGTTTCTTAAAAAAAAAAAAAAAAAAAAAAAAAAAAAAGAAGAGAAGAATAGCCCTGCTACAATTACATATGCAATACAGTTCTGACTCAGTAACCTGCGAGAAAAAAATGGGCAAAATTGTATTTGTGTCCAGTCAGACATACCCCATCTTCAGGGCTTGATGCAGAGCCTAAGCTAACAGAAATTTTCCTACAAGGTCAGGCTCCAGCCCTAGGCTTGAAAATTTGATGCAGGGAGTCAGCCTAGATTGCACAGAGCTTCCTGTGCAGGTCAGGATTTGATTAGAGTCCAGCAAAGAAACCCAGATGAGCTCCACCTTGATACAAAGACAACTATAGTTTATAGGGGAAAAAAACCCCAAGTAACTGTAGAAAGAGATAAAGAAGCCACCTGTGTGAAAGGTTTTACTCCTGGAGCAAGTGTCTTGGGGACAGAAATGGTTGGAGTGACATTCCCCTGCCCTCAGCAGTGTTATCACACACATCAAAACCTGCAGGAGATGAACGTGTCTCTCACCTCCCCCAGCAATTAGAGGCTCCAAGACACTTCTGAGGAGCTGCCTGCCATCCTGCAGAATCGGGCTCTTCTTTTATTCTGATAAAGTGACTAGTGAGTTACAGCAATCTCCCAGTAGCTCTCTAAATAATTGCATTCTCTTATGTCTTTTAATCATAAGCACCATGAGGCTCATAATACCACATGTGCAATCCAAATTGGCCCATCAGCTCAGTTCATCAAAGGGACCTAATTTAATCCCAGTCTTTGATGGAGACAGGAGAGGTCAAAGTCTGCCCTAATGATTCGTCAAGTTTACTTAGCTTGCAGATCTGTGGCGTGAAGGGCACTTGGACTCCAAGAACAGCACTGAAAATGGTTAGCCATGATGAAGAAGACAAAATTGGCAAAAACTTGACACTCTGAATCAACAGAAACCACAGAAGAACCCTGGAACAACAGTGGAGACTGAAAAGGCAAAATAAACCCCATGATGGGTGTCACCAAAAGTAACATCATGAGACCGGTCCAATAAATTGTTACAGGCAATGGCTCCCTTGGAGTAAATATCACTACTGCGAGAGACCCACCAAACAGAAGACCAGAGCAGATGAATTCAAGCCAGGAAATGCAGAGCCAGAGGAAAGCAGAAGCAAAGTGCCCAGAATGGCAGAGCTGCTCTGACCTGGCAGCATCTGCTCCCAGCCAGAGCAGGATGCAGTAGTCATGAGAACACAACTTTACATGGAAAAGTGCCTGCTCTTCCTCTAAAAAGCTGAAAAGGGGCTCAAAACTTTCAGAGTTGAGCAGGTTCAGTCTAGGTGCATCTTTTAAAACCACTGGAATGACTTCTCTGCTCCTTTTCAGCCCAGCAGGTCAGTGGGCCCCAGGAGGTGTAGTACAGTGACACCAGCTAAGAAATGCTAAGACAGAAGCAAAAACCCAAAGGAAGGAGCCCAAATCCCTGGCTTCAAGGGATGTTGAACAATGAACAGCATTAGGACTAAAGGCACTGAAGATAAGGTTTCTATGGAAAAGCTAAAAGCCCAACTTTGTCAGGAAAAGTGAGGGCTGACAGGAGAAGACTAGAGCAGTGTTTCACTCCATAGCCGTGATGTGAACACAGTAAAAAAAATGGAAAAAAATGACTCTCCTAGACAAAAAACAGCTGGTTCTGAAGCTCTCAACAGCTTTTAATAGTTTTCAGCTCAAACAGAAGAGGGAACTCGGAGCCCGCATTACAGAAGCTTGAGGAGTGCTGCAGGTTGTGAGAAATGAAGCACAAGCCCTTTGGTTTTAACCAGCATGTACAAAATGATGGTGCAAAGAAGGGCCAAAGAAGTCCTCTAGTAGGGATGTAAAGGGCTATACTGGCACTGTTAGCCTAGAGGGATTCTTCATGGCACTATCAAAGTTTTGGTAGAAGATGGATGGACCATCTGCCTGCCATTTATTTATTTTATACAGAGAATGCAGGTGCTCAGGACAACCTATGGGGGGAAAAAAGTAAAGAAAAATAGTGACATTAGCTCCAAAAGGAAAGCCATAGCCAGCAGAGAGCAGAGAGTGAAATGCAAACATTACCCAGGCTGGCTAATCCCCACAAAGAGACTGGCTGCTAAAAAACATGTCAAATCCTTGGTCTCATGAGGGATGTGCTCTTTGGAGGAGCAGGAGACCTGATTTTGAGGAGAGCTTCCAGGAAGGTGCTTGTGGATGGGCAGAGTGGGAGAGCCCCAACCTCCCCTTACTCCAAGGAAGCGATGAGATGGGGGACAGCACAGCTCCCTTGGCCAGCCCTGAAATAACAGGGCAGCTAATGGCACTGCCTGTCAATGAGAAAAGAGGAAGAAAATGCATATTAAATACACTTTGTGGAAAGAGGAAACTTTCTTCTCCTAGCTCTGCAGATTTTGGGCTGTATAAAGTATCAAGAAGCAAAGCTGGTGCTGACAGACCATGAATGGCACACGAGTGGGTTAGCCAGTGCTGGGACCTGGGAGCTGCAGCCCCCAGAGAGGCATATGAGCATCCGCCAGCCCCTGCTGAGCTCAGGGCACAGGAGGAGCTAAACTGCACAGCCTCACATGTAGGGAGCTGCCAGGATTGTCAGTCACTCGCCTTTTTGGAAAGCAGCAGCTCCTGGCACCTGCTGAATTCCTGCTGGCCTGTTTCACCTCTAACTTGGGCAGGAAAATTCCATATTGGCACAGCACCTTTGAGAGGTTTCTGTCTTTGGTGAGGACAGCATGAAGGCCTACTTGGAGAGCCTTTTGATGCACAGGTTAATCAGAGAAAGAGCCTGAACAAAGGCTCCAAGCAGCTCTAAGCAGATTTGGGTAGAGCTCAAAGCAACCAAATTGACTTCCACTTGAAGAAACTTCTCTTGTAGTTGGGCACATAACACAGCGAGGTCTGAGAGAGGCCTGTTACCTGAGACCTGGTCACTGGGGCCGGGCAAGCAGATGAAGAAAGAGCAGAAAGTGCCCCACCAAGGGCACTAGCACAGGTCTCTGTGTCGGGAGGAGCAGCTCTGCCCAGGCACGCAGCCTGCTGCTCCTCACCCAGCAGATTCAGAAGCTGACACAGATCTCCCAGCAAAACATTGACACCAGCTCTTAAAACATCCCGGTCAAGCCTGGGGAGGACACAGAGCCAGCCCCACTGACCAGCAGGCCCTGTGCCAGCACTGCTGGCAGAGGAGCAGTCCCATTTCACTGGCTGCCATGACCACACTGATGGGGCAGATGCAGCTCACTGACCACACACTAGTACTGCGATGAACACAATCTGAGTGTTTTTCTCCCACTCCTCAAGAGAAAGACAAAGACTCACAAACTGACTGACAGGGGAGGGCTCCAGAGCCTTCAGCACAAGTGCAAGGCGGGAAGGAGCAGCCTGACCATAATAATGTATAAGCAAACTAAAGCAGGCTGGGGCCACAGGCTGCACAAATGGAGCCCTCATGGCTGGTAACAGTAGGGCTTCAGTCCCAAAGTCCCTGCAGCTTGACGTGGCACAACACAAGGGCTGACTGTAGGCAGCAAACGGGCCACAGGATAGATTGGAGGGACACATGGAGATGCTGGATTACCCCTGTGCTTATGAACTGATTTGCCTACAGGAGATGCATCGGGCCATACAAGGCTGTGACAAGAAGGCAGAGCCAAAGTAAGTGAGGGCTGATGCCCTCTTACCACCCAGATACTTGTCTCTCAGTGATTTCTGCCCAGACATGGTAGTCCTGTGGGTGAGAAGCTTTTCTGGCTTCAGGGAAGTGGGCAGCATTGCCCAGGACAACCCCCAAGAAGACACACTGTTGCTGGCAGTAGAGAGGCTGCATGAGAGGAGGAATAAGCAAGGCGCTGAGGGCTGGCAAAGTCATCGAGGAGAAGTCTGAGTGACTTTTGGGGAGGGAAGATCAGCATGTGGGACTGAGGGGGCTGACTGCTAGCGAAAAGAGTAATTTGGAGCTAACTTGGGAGTCTGCAACAAGAAGAAAACCAAGCTGCAGCTTGGGAAGAGTACATGTCTTCCACAAGTCAGTTCAACTTCATTTCCTTACACACATGGGTAGATTGAACAGGACAGGCCAAGCAGACTGAACAACATATGCAATGACAAAAAATAATCCAAAAAGTGATGTTTGCTTGATTTTTGTGTCTTCAGCTTGGCTGCCAGTTGCCACGCTGCTGGATTCCAACTGCAGCTCCTCATCACTCCAACTGAATTGCTACATTCTGGTTTAGGTTTTTACTTACTGTAAGCATATTACAATTTTAATTAAGCACTAAAACAGTGTTTTAGCAGGTTTTTTTGAGAGTTTTGCTATTTAACTTGTTGATTACAGTTCTTTCCAATTCTTAGTTTTGTCCTAAATTTAGACCAATTCTGACTGAGCCCTGCAGGATAACTGCTAAAACTATTCATTAAAAATGAAGAGATCAGAGTTGATCTGCTGACAGTGGGAGCCTGCAGTGTGGCTGCGCTGCATCCTGGCAATCTTCTGATCTACAGGTACTAGAGGTAGGTAAGTGTTGATCTGCTGGTAAAACACAGCATGGAAAGACCTTGAGAAAACATAGCAGGTTGTTGTTTCAAAGCTCACTAAGAAACAACTTGTTTCATTCCTTGTTGACCACCTGAGACGGTGAGGAAGGAGGAATTTTAAGCAAAGCAATTATTTTCCTTCATGCAATTTCTGTAATACAGCATGAGCCCTTCTCAAGGCAAAATGTTTAATACTGTCCCCCACTTTAGTCTTTCTGTGAAGACTTTGCAAGAGATGAATGAGGGTCCCTGCTTTACAAAGCACATGGATAACTCCAACAAGAAAGCAATGCCACAGTTCATGCTTAGCCAGCTTCACTGGGGATTTTGTTTTTTACTAAATTGTTGCGGAGAGCCAAAGGCCCCGCAACATCTACTTGTATGTGACAGATTTATTGCACATGTTAACATGAAAGACTAGCTTAAATCCAGCTATCAATATGCAAAACTCTGGCCAGATCTGTCAACATCTGGGACTAGAAACATATCTTAAATGCTGTTTTAAAATTATATCACAATAACAAATGTAGTGATAATGAAATGCAAAGTCTGGTACCATCCAAAATTCAGCAGCTGCGGTATTTGCCATGGAGCTGAACTCCCAGGTTTAAGCTGCTGGTTCTAGAAAGCGTTTCTTGTAGCTAGGCAAAGAAATTCAACACAGAGAGGAGGAAATGATTTCTCTGTGTATGACCCTGGGTAAAACTGCCTGTTAGACACCTCTAAACTGTAGCTCTCCCCCCTGTGCTACTCTCATCTGTAATACACCTTCAGCTGTTTTTTCTGTTCCAAGGGGAAACCAAGGTGGTGGCTGCCATGGATGGTGGGGGTATTGCCTGCCTCCTCCTCTAGTCACTGTAGACCCACCAACACAGGTCTGTATGCTGGTTTTTGCAATACTCTGCAATGATGAACCAGTTTTCAAGCCAGGGGTGACTAACTTCCCCAATGGCCCTTCAGTACCAGTTAGGAGAGTAATTTTCTGAAAGGTCTGAAGTCATCCACTATTTAATCATCTGAGCTTTCCACTTCTCCCATCTCACTTTCTCTCCAATTAATTCGATGTGAGGAATTTCAGTGCTTCATTGAGGCGTTGGGAAGACCTTGACCAAATAGCCTTTTCTTTCCTTCCCACCCCATCAGTCTCCAAGCCTCCTTGCACAGCACCTCAGGCCAAAGCCAAGGCCAGTGAAAACTTTTCCTTTCACTCACATTTCACTTACACAATGAAACTCACATCCAGACCACTGCTCAGGAAAGCCATGTCTTCCACTAGGGCAAGCCCTGCCCCAGGCTACCTTGCCCAGCCCTATTTGAGTCTCCAGAGGGGAGCCAGTTCCTGTGTCTGGCCGGGATCCTGCCTCCCAGCCAGCACTGACAGCACACACCAGCTGCATCCCAGCCAGTCCCATGCAGTCCTCCCAGGGCTCGTCCTCTGGAATCCTCCAAAACTCATCTTCTGGAATTACGGGGCTGTGGGGAAAAGGAGAGGGAAGAAAAGAGAGATGCAAATCCCTTGAACTGCACAGAGCAGCTTGCTACCTAAAAGCATTCAACTGCCTCACAAAGAAGAGGTAAATTTAACAAACCCACAGCCAAGAAGTTGTTTTGCTGAGTTTGAAAACTCATTTTTATGGTTATCTCATGAAAAGCTGGAAATAACACTGGCCACACTTACAACCCACAAAGGAGGAAAACGTGTTGAGTAACAGCCAGTGCAACTGAAGGAAAATTTGATGCACAAAAAAATCTTTATCAGAAAGCATCCTTCAGAAAACCAGATAAATACCCACACTTTCACAGTGAAGCCAAACCTCTACAAACTCCATGAAGGCTTGTGTGGCAACATTTCTACAGATCCCCACTAGTTCATTACTGTCCCTTAGCTGGAAGCGATTATTTCTTTAGGTCAGCCTCCAAAACAGCTGGTGTGAGCTTTCCCTGATCTGCTCCAGGGCAAACTCCTCCAACAGCTGAGACTCCCTTCAGTGACGGGCGAAGCTGGACAGGCAGCAGACTGCTAGTTCTCTAAAGAGGTTCACATAGCTTTATATATACTATCCCTATTTTGGCTTCTTCTTCTGATCCTAAGCCAAAGGAATTCTGGAGGAATAAGGAATATTGTTCTAAAATTGGGTGCCAAGAGCTGTGGATGGCCCTATCTCTGAGCTGACCATATGGAAGAAAAAGCCAGAGACCTCAATACTCCGCAGAATCAGGTCCTAGATCTTTGATCCAGTCTTGAGTCCATTTGTAAATGATGAAAAAGGACCAAAGATCGAGTTGTGGCTCTAAAACTGGAGAAGTGCTATGCTGAATGTGCTGTTTTGCCACCTTCTCCAGCTAGCAGGGACAGCTCTTCATTACAGCCCCCAAACTGCTCCTGGCCGGTTGTCAGCACGCCCAGTGGAAATCCATCCAAACTGCTGGTGCCTTTCAAATGAATGGGTCCAATTAGCAAAGCTTTACAACTGCAGCTGAAACAGTGGGGAAGGATCATACCAGCAACCAAGCAGGCAGATCGGAGAAAGACAAAACTTCCAATAGGTGATGATGAGCAGGTGGGAAGAAATAGCTGTGTCAGCTGGAAAAGAAATGTGAACAGAGCCTTACACTCCCTTGGGCAAGCAATTCCTCAGAGGGGCTGAAGGAGCAGCCCCCAGCCTCATGTTAGCACTTTATTCATAGCATTGCCTTCCTGTTCATAACCTTCCCAACTGTGAATTGCAATTTTTCTCCCCCTAGCATTATGGTGATGGTTTGGAACATGGTGATGTTTGGAAAGGGGCAATTTGGCATCAAGAGTCTAAAAAGCAGATACAGATGACATCCTAAATGTATCTTTTATGAGTTTAGAAAGATTCCTTTAAATTAAGCTCAGAGTGTGTGACAGCTTCTGGTAGAGCCGCCAGTAAGGAAATAAAACATAAAACTCAGGAGGTTCTTGAGCATATGTAGTCTTAAAGATTGTGTCCTCTGGACACCTTCCTTCCCCTCATGCCACTCTGAGCTGCAATGTACCAAGTGCTTCCCAAGTAAAGTGCTCCAATAATTTTCAATTGTCTCTTCACCACATATGCCCTCGAACCCCAACTTACTTCCAAATTCAAGGCTTATAAAAAATTAAATGCTCCAATAATTCTAAATTGTGTTTGTTCAGTGCTACTGGAGCCTGTCCATTCCTTCAGTTTGGGGATTTTTGTTTTGTTTGCGGGGGGGAGGAAGAAATGCTTTCTATTAGTGCTTCAAATTGGAAGCCGGTCAAACAGCATCATAGCAGAATGATTCAGCAGCCTCTGAGCTGATTCACAGTGTATCATAAAACAGGATTAGGAAAACAACAATGCTTGGAGGAGAAAGAACCCACACAAAGAATCATGGCAGGAGAACAATACCAGAAAGGAGCAGAGGGAATAATCCTCACTTGGCTTCTGAGGAGCAGGTCGGATGACCTAATAGATGGCTTTCAATGCCCTTCATTCCCTGCTGAGTCGCAGGGTTCAGCTGCCTGGATCCAGCCACCACAGCTTAATAAATGGCTCTGCATCGACTGAACCACATTAAGTGTTTCTGTGTGCACACCCGCAGCCTGTTGTCATTTATCTGAGACCACGGTCCCCCTCTGGCACAAGACCCAGATGCTATTTCACAGCAGGCAGGAGTCTGTGCAGAACTAGTGGTGGAAGTTCATGACCATTTACGACAGGAAGCAAAGGAAACAATTTGAAGCTGTGAGTCTTCCAGTTATAAACCAAAAAGTGGGGGTTTCTATCCTACTCAAAATGACACACACACACACAAGGCATCACATTAAAGCAGCAGAAGTGTCAAGCTACACATATTCCCTAGCACTGTCCTGAACAGGGATGAAATTAAACATGCATTTCATGATCTTCTGAATCAAAGCATCAGCGACCACCTATGGTCAATGCCAAGATGGAAGAGGAAAGTATCATGTAAATCTGTTCTCTGTGACCTGAAGATCCTATTGACAACCTTGTAAATTAGGCTGTACCTGTTACAGCTGCAGCCTTGGAGCAACAGAGGAAGGTAGGGACTCTCTCAGGAGTTTTACTAGATCAGCAATGGTTGAATTACTTCCATGCAGAACATGAAATCACAGCTTCACACAAGTGAGGAAAATCAGACAATTGCATCTCAATTCTGATAAAATACCTATATCCAAAGTTTGGTAGAGAGACAGAAAAACAGGGAGGACAAAGAAAAATGTCCTATACCATGGTCTTTTCTTGTAGACTGAAAAAAAATGATAAAGTGCATCCTTGTTTAACATACTGCAGGATGCCTGGAATTTTATAGAAACTGCTGCAACATGTCTCCCAGTGGGGAATAACTGAAGCATGAGATAAGAAATCAGCCATATTCTAACTTGCAGTGGCAGGTGCTATAAAAGGAAATGCCCAATGAAGTCTTAATATATAGGAAGATGGCAAATAACTGCCTGGATTTCTGAAATAAGAAAGCATAAACCAATACTCTAATCACGTCTAATCAAAGAACACCATCAGTTGCTAAAATCTTCTAGGAAAAAATGGGTATCAGAGAGATGGTAGCATACATATCTTCTTCAGTAGTGTTTTGGGAATATTTTAGCCTGCAGAATTTAATTCCCTGTTATTACTTCTGAGTCTGGAGGTGAAAGTCATAAATCAGGACCATTCATAACATGCAATAATGGGGTGAAATACTCATAAGGAGAATTACATTACTAAATCCTTTGGGATTGTGTGTAACACTTCCAGTCCTTGATGATAGCATTAAAAATTCTTCTGTCAGTAACATCTATGCTTTCCTAATTCTTACATGGTTTCTCATTATTTTCTCCAAACATCTCCAAATTTTAGTCCTATGGCACTCCTTCCACCCTTCCTCCCTGCTCCCTTAAATATATGGTTAAAACAAAATCATAGGAAAGCATTACATGCTTTAAAAAGATGGGCAGGTTTTAAATTACACCATATTTACTTATAAGGGCTATTAATACCAGAGGAGCTTTCCCAGGGAGTTTTGCTCTCATTTCAGGACCCCTATTGTTTTTATAGAGGGCTATTTGGCCCCATTTAGAAGGTGGCTGCATTTGGAGTAATAAAGACTGCAATGCTAAAACATAAAGTAATATTGTCCCCACCCTTCTTTTACCCTCCCATCTACTGAGTTAAAAAAAAAAAAAAAAAGTCCCAACCCATGTGTTAGAGCTTTGTTTTCTTAGTAACAAGACTAATCATGTTTCCTCTGCTTGAGGTCTCTCTCTTCTCTTCCTTTTCTTCTAGGTCCTCTGGATCCACACTGACATAGAAATATCCCATGATGGAGAAAATAATGCACACAGCAAAGAGCAGAACAGTGAACAAGACAAATTCAGCCCACTAGGAAAGAAAAAAGAACAGCAGGTCAGGGGACCCCAGACTCTCAGTCCAGAGGATTTCTCTGCACTTACAAGTGTTTAAAGAGCTGGGTGAAAATTACTTTTCAGCTTCTGAAATTGCTCACAAGACAGAAACTTTCTCATCCTGTTTTCTGATAAACCCATGTACACACAATGTAATTATGAATATGTGATATGCCTTGAAATAAACCAGTTAGATGGGGCTAGTTTCATTAAATCTTTTTCTACAAATCTGTCCTGACTGGAACATAATGTGCCTGGGCTTTTAGCACACAAGATGCCTTTGAGAGAGGCAGTTTCATGTTAGCCAGAAATGAGCCCCATTTTACACCTTCATGCCATCATCCCAGCAGTCTGATAGCCTGAATTAAACAAGCTCTGCACCACAACCTCCCCATGCAAGCCCGATATCTCAGGGGTGCCACAGGCAGCTGGCCCTGAAGGAGTCCAAAACTACATGCTTGTTGAGGCTGCTGGCCCACTGGGCTAGCTGTGAAGGCAAGCTGCTCTCAGTAAGCAACTGCAATGCATGGCTGGTGTCGTATCCAGGCTCCAGGCCCAGACACAGCCTGCTTGCCGAGAGCTGAGCTCCAGCAGGTCACTTATTTACTGCCACTGGGAGGCTTAGGGAGAGCCATTGATCCAGAGAGAAACGCTGATGAGGGCAACACAGAGGCCTGGCCGGGGGGCAGCTCCGTGCAGGCTGCATCACTCCATGGCAGGAGCCTGGGGCTGTGCAGAGAAGCTGTACCTCCAGGACAGAGACATCCAGAAGCAACATCCAGGACCAGGCCCGTTTTAAAGCATTACCTGTTTTAAGAGCCGAACCATACCTGTGCCATTGGTGCAGCCTGTGCAACAACGAGCACAAGGGTATTCCCAACAGCCACTGTGAGTAGCCAGCCTGCCTGCAGCACCGATTTCATGCTGGCCGGAGACTGAAAAGAGAAGGGCCTGGTCAGTGGGTATCACGCTGTGCCCTTCTGCCCTGGGTCACCCTGTGATGTCCTGCCTGACGTAAGTGTCTCTGGGCTCAGCCTAGGAGGAGATAGTGCAATTTCCTGTGTGCAGAGTCTCCTCTGTGGTTAATTTCAGCAGCTGCATATAAGGAGCTTTCAAAATATGTCCTCCAGGAGGACACACGAAGAAAGAGGAGATGGTGTTGTTGCAGAGCTGCATCCTGATCACACCCAACCTGCATCATCTGGAATTGTATGACCAGGAAGTTCAGGGAGCTGCATGATGAGCCCTGCAGCTTGGAGTCTGGTGCCATGTGGCTGTACACCTTTGGAAAAGAGACTGGGTCTTGACATTAAACTTCCTGTTGATGACACATTCCATGACAGATTGTCCCACTGTATTAATCACTAATAAACATCTTCACTTTATTGCCAGGATAAATTTGAGTAGCTTCAGCTTTTTGATATTTTAACATATCAACCCTCTCTTCTCATAAACCTTCTCCTGAGACAACAATCAAATAATCCCTTGCATGCTCATTACCCCTTGCTGACTTTTTATAGACTTGTGTAGGCTTAGGCCCATTCAGTCTCTCAGCTTGAAGCACGTTCCAAGCCCCCATGCCACCCTGTAGTCCTTCAGGTACCTTTGCCTTTTTATCACTGGAAAATACATACCACAAGATATTTCACTGGGAGAAAAACCTGATATTACAGTATTCAGAGCTTTCAAATTAAAGTAAACCTCTATTCAGTTCCATTCTATGTTCTCAGCTTTACCAGAAAGGAACTTCCTGAGTATAATTGAGAATTTGTATCTTTAGAGCATGAAATAATTTAACTTGAGGGCACACAGCAAACTGTGCTATAATCCCACTTTTAGCTGAATCACAGATAACATTGTCAGTAAGTGTCATTCCAAAGGACGTATTACATGTCAATGGCAGATGCAGGAATAAATCCTGAAGTCTAATTGTAAACTTAATCCAAAATCTAATCTTTAAGTGGAGTACCTGAGAATAGGAGAAGGCCAGACCTGTAATGGAGAACATCACCTCCCCAGCAGATATTAGTAAGTACTGTGGTAACTGCCAAGCCATATGGACGTTGTTGGATTTGATGTCTTCTGACTTCCATGTCTTAACAGCACCTCCAGAAACCTGGAGGGAAAATAAAGGCACATGGATTAGCTCCTCAAAGATCAGATCCTTCTTAGCCTGGACTCCAACAACAACTTTACCAAAATGAAGTTTTAAGTAAAGGTGGAAGTAAAGCTCCACCCTGGAAGCAAAACTCTGGGTCTGACCCCTGCTATTTCCAAGCCTGTTGGGAATGGGCTGACTCCTACCACCCAGGGCTGAGGTGGCAGGATGGAAGCATCCCAGCGGGTTCATATGCTGCAAGAGTTGCATGAGTTATTACAAACCAGCAAGTTGCCTTCTGCAGTGGGGCCGGGAAAAACCTGTGTGGTACTTGTGCAGAGCCTGTGACATGCTGCTGTCCCCAGGGCCAGAAGAGGACGAGAGGATAAATGTTCATTGCAGCCATGTGGCCACCACTCCCGTTTCATCAGCACTGTACAACTCCCCTACTATAACGGCAACACCCAAACAAATCCAGTTCAGGAACACCAAGAGTAGAAGAGACTGCCCATATCAGATATATTCAGATAGTTATGGCAGCAGTATTCCTCATTCTTTTTGTTGCCTTCCCAGATGTAATTAATACTGCCTCCGATAGACAGAGGCAGATAGAGATTTGACTAGTAGCCAGGAAAACACTAGACTGAAATGACTTCAGGCTGAAACCCCCATGTTTACGGAGAGTATTTAGGGAAATACAAGGGATGTTTACGAGATGTACTTAATTACCATGCAGGGAGGCAAATCAAGAGACTGTATTTTAGCAGACTAAAAGGGGTGAGAGGAGAGCTGTGCATTGCTCTTTAGCCCATAAAGAATCATCACAAGCACCATACTATAACTGCACACTGAGGAAGGCTGGGTAGAAGGCAGAATCCCCATGATTTAAGTATCACAGTTCAGCCACATTAGCAGACTAATATATTGTGTTCTTGGTTCTTCTATATAGCACTCCTGGCAGAGGAGCAGGGCCCAGTACAAATCACTGGAATAATTAAAAATTATCTTGGCCTGGAGGAAACTAACTCTACAGAAGTTGGAAACCACAGGGAGAGAGACAGAAAAACAGAGGGTCAAAAAGATTAAAGGACTAGCACAGGGTCCAGAAGGGCTGAGGCACAGAGCCACCCCTGAGCATCGATGGCTACAGCAGGGCCTTTTGTAGATGGGACCACAAACTATAATCTTTGCCCATAGTGACATGAGACACATTTACCTCAGCTGGCTCTGACTCAGTTGTGTTACCAGAGGCTCTGGGGCAATATTCTTAGTGTAATATTCTTCATGCAACTTCTCTACTTGTTTTCTTGCCTGGTGAGAGACTTGCAGCCATGGAGGAATGGTCTGGCCAACATCACTTCAAGTGTATATATGTTTTATGTATATAATTCTCCGCACTCACAGATGGCAGCATCTGCCTGTTCCCTCCAGGACTGTGCATCCCACTCTAGCTACTGGAGTTTAAAAAAAATGCCAGGTGCTTTGCAGCTGTATTTTTCCCCCTATGTATTGGACTCTGCAGACATGAACAGCTCCCATTAATTGCTCAACAGGGAGATGTTACTGCCAGTGAGTAGCTGACAGCACTTTGCTCTGCTCATCACAACAGAGTAGTCAAAGTCTCAGAGGGTGGCTTACCAGCGTGTCCTGTCAGTCCTGGTTTGTCTGTGTGCCTGTGCAGTGGAAAGGTTAAAATGGGAGCTAAGCTGATCACGTTCATCTCTTGCCAGCTGGACAAGGGTTGGAGCAGTGTGCCTAAGAGGCTGGCAGGCAGGGAGAGGAATCCACCCTCTCAGCAGTGCTTATGCCCCATCAGGGCTAGGTTGTTCAGAAAACCATGCCTTGACTTTACACTAGACTCCACATGAGCTGTACAGACAGCAAGAGGAGGAAAAACAGATGCACAATCTCACCAACCTCCACCCTCAACACTTTGTCCCTCTTCCCCCCACGCACAATCCACCAGTCTTGGAAGATCAGCAAGTTAAATATGAGGATATAGTAGACTGTTTCTGCAGAGTTTTTCAGGTATGAGGTACCATAAGGTACAGTATTTCAAAGACCACAAGCAGAGTCAGCTCTTGGCAGACTGTAATAGCTCTTTGCAGCGCACCAGGTTAATGTTAACTGAACAAGGATGGCATGAGACCAGCACAAACCATGGATCACACGATTCTCCATGGAAGATATTCAAGGAAAGATCTTGTTTAATCCATGAGATCTGACAAGATCACAGCTTAAGATGGAATCAGTACTCACCCACCTTACTTATGTAGGTGTCAAAACCTTTTCCTAGCCCTTATATAACAGACTGCCTTCAGATGGCTACTGCCCAGGTCTCATAGGGTGGAGAAAGCAAGTGAGAGTCACAGACATAAGAACAAAAGCACTGCCAGAGTCTAGAACAGAATGAGCTCGTTACCATTACAGGAACACTTACGTTAGTTATCACAATGGTGTATGATGCACCGAAGTCGAGCAGCCCTAGCTCCAGGGTGAATTCTCCCATTTCAGTTATGCATTTTCCATTATTATATCTAGATACAATGATGAAGTACAGTATTTCTGAGTTAGTCCCACAGACAAAGAATGCAGAGCAGAGCTATCAAACATGCTTCTACAATGGAGTAGGGAGGACGTATGATGTAAAGCTGCAGTAATGTTTGTGTCAGACAATCACTATAGTTCTTGCCATCTTTTCCTTCCAGAAACACTTGGGCACTGACTAGAGTGCACCTAATGACCTGGGCTATTGATAACATTTTCAAACAGTTTTTGCCTCTTCCTAGCACTGATCCTGAACAGGGATGAAATTAAACATGCATTTCATGATCTTCTGAATCAAAGCATCAGCGACCACCTATGGTCAATGCCAAGATGGAAGAGGAAAGTATCATGTAAATCTGTTCTCTGTGACCTGAAGATCCTATTGACAACCTTGTAAATTAGGCTGTACCTGTTACAGCTGCAGCCTTGGAGCAACAGAGGAAGGTAGGGACTCAGGAGTTTTACTAGATCAGCAATGGTTGAATTACTTCCATGCAGAACATGAAATCACAGCTTCACACAAGTGAGGAAAATCAGACAATTGCATCTCAATTCTGATAAAATACCTATATCCAAAGTTTGGTAGAGAGACAGAAAAACAGGGAGGACAAAGAAAAATGTCCTATACCATGGTCTTTTCTTGTAGACTGAAAAAAAATGATAAAGTGCATCCTTGTTTAACATACTGCAGGATGCCTGGAATTTTATAGAAACTGCTGCAACATGTCTCCCAGTGGGGAATAACTGAAGCATGAGATAAGAAATCAGCCATATTCTAACTTGCAGTGGCAGGTGCTATAAAAGGAAATGCCCAATGAAGTCTTAATATATAGGAAGATGGCAAATAACTGCCTGGATTTCTGAAATAAGAAAGCATAAACCAATACTCTAATCACGTCTAATCAAAGAACACCATCAGTTGCTAAAATCTTCTAGGAAAAAATGGGTATCAGAGAGATGGTAGCATACATATCTTCTTCAGTAGTGTTTTGGGAATATTTTAGCCTGCAGAATTTAATTCCCTGTTATTACTTCTGAGTCTGGAGGTGAAAGTCATAAATCAGGACCATTCATAACATGCAATAATGGGGTGAAATACTCATAAGGAGAATTACATTACTAAATCCTTTGGGATTGTGTGTAACACTTCCAGTCCTTGATGATAGCATTAAAAATTCTTCTGTCAGTAACATCTATGCTTTCCTAATTCTTACATGGTTTCTCATTATTTTCTCCAAACATCTCCAAATTTTAGTCCTATGGCACTCCTTCCACCCTTCCTCCCTGCTCCCTTAAATATATGGTTAAAACAAAATCATAGGAAAGCATTACATGCTTTAAAAAGATGGGCAGGTTTTAAATTACACCATATTTACTTATAAGGGCTATTAATACCAGAGGAGCTTTCCCAGGGAGTTTTGCTCTCATTTCAGGACCCCTATTGTTTTTATAGAGGGCTATTTGGCCCCATTTAGAAGGTGGCTGCATTTGGAGTAATAAAGACTGCAATGCTAAAACATAAAGTAATATTGTCCCCACCCTTCTTTTACCCT